CAATTGAGGTCTGTGTTGATGCCCATTGCCCATGTTAACATACAGGTCCATGTGAACCATACATGTTGAAGTCTGAGGGTCATGCTGAGCCAGCCCCGCCCCTCACTGATCCTAGGAGAGCTGACCCCAATGATACTGGCACAGGAGAGCTGGTCCTGCCCCTCAGAGGAGAGCTTGCCCCCACACTTAGGAAAGTTGGACCCACCTCTCATCTGAGGGTGACAGTCCCAACAGCCCTGATTGACCAACTCAGCTACCACCCAGGCACATATCCCCAGAGCTTTGAGTTGGCCCATGCCAACATCTACCCCATCTATGACCTGCTGGAGCATGTAAAGGGACTGGTCTTGCAGAACCATAGCCTCAGGATCTCCATGACTCAGGACAACAGGAAGGTATCCAAGAGGAGTGTTGGTGAGGGTCCTGTATCGATGGTGTACCAGAAGCCAAAGGCCTTGAACCTAACCAACAACTTATTACACAACAAACGTTTATAAGCAAAGCTGTTTTGACAAAAGGGTCTGCTGTGTGACACACCGCAACTCCCAATGCCACTAAGAAAAATAAAGACATGATGGAGAGGTGGGAAAAACGGAGAAGCAAAGTGTTTGTTTGTTTTTGTTTTGCTTTTTGTTGTCGTTGTGTTTTGTTGCTGTTTGTAATTAATATTTTTATTTTATTTCTTTTTAAATTTTCTTTGATGGTGGGGAGATGCTACAAGAGTGAAATTCCCATATGAATGGGCTGGGAAATGAGTAGAATTGGGATGCATGATATGAAATTCCCAAAGAACCAATAAAAAAAACTATGTTCAAAAATAAGAAAATACACCCAAGATCTTTTATTAGGAAAACTATAAAGCTCTGATAAAAAGAAATCGAAGAACTAAATAAAAGGGGTGATAGTCCCTTCTTCGCTGCTCCCAGAGAACTGGAGTGCTACGGTGAGGACCTGCCTTCAGCAGCTCAGGAACTGAAGGCGAGCCAATGTGTCAGTGGACTAATCACTCAATTGACGTTTCTATCTGAGGGAGTAAAACTTAATTCTCTGGAGCCGGTGGAAAAGGGAAACACACACACACATACACACACACACACACACACACACACACACACACACACCTCCAATGTGTCAGGATCTCACCTAGGGTGCTGATGAATGGCAAGCCTTCAACAGGCCAGAGAAACTGAAGAGGAGATACAAAGCAGGCAAACTACTGGACAGACAGACAGACACACAAGGATATTTCAGAGGGGCAAGGCTTAGTTCTTCATCTTATTATTCTTTCTGCTGTTTGTTCTATCTGTTCCTTTTCTGTTCTGTTCTTCTACCCTGATTTTTCCCTTCTGTATCTTTTTTTTAAGATTTATTTATTTACTTATTTATTATGTATACAGTATTCTGCCTACATGTGTCCCTGCAGGCCAGAAGAGAGCACCAGATCTCATTACAAGTGGTTGTGAGCCACCATGTGGGTGCTGGGAATTGAACTCAGGTCCTCTGGAAGAGCAGTCGGTGCTCTTAACCACTGAGCCATCTCTCCAGCCCCTCCCTTCTGTTTCTTGATGACTTCCTTCTACACTGCTTTCTGATGTCTTCCTCCTAACTACTTCATTTTTTTTTCCTTACAGCTATACACCCAGCAGAATCTTTCAAGCAATACAAAAATTACACTGTGGTTACATTCTATTTTTCAAGTGAATGATTACAATGAATATAAGCAAAAAATAGCATGCTTTCCATTTCCCTTACATGATTAAACATTTTATGTATTACAGGTGAAAAACAAATTATCCCCAAGAACCCACATAAATTCATGTCCAAGCAACTTGTTATAGATTAACAAAATGTAAGCAAGCAAGGTATTTTTCTCAGTCAGTTCTTTTACTGACAGACTATATTTTGTGGTTACAAGGAAAGAACCGATCACTGTATTATTTATCTCAAAAGATGATCTTATAAAAAAATCTTAAAAGAATCACAAATCTAAACTTTCATATTATGAAAAACAGTCAGTCATTTCTACTTTAAGTCCTCAGGGTGCACACCCACTCATCAACAGTTTCTTATTAAGTCATATCAGGAAGCTGAGGGCAGAAATGGATACAAGGAATTAATCACCTTTGATCACCAACCCATCCTAGCAAGAAATGCACATCAGCCAGCAATAGCCAGGCTGTCATTGTTTCTGGTCTCCGACCTCAACAGTCCCTCTCTCAACTATTAAAAGTGTGTCTTTCTAAACTTTAAATTATTCTCCAATATTTTCTACCTCAAAACCATTAACAAAAACATCTTGCTGGGTGGTGGTGGTGGCGCATGCCTTTAATCCCAGCACTCAGGAGGTAGAGGCAAGTGGATCTCTGTGAGTTCGAGGTCAGCCTGGGCTACAGAGTGAGTTCCAAGAAAGGTGCAAAGCTACACAGATAAACCCTGTCTCAAAAAAAAATCTTAACCTAACCTTAAGTCATTATTTAAAGCTTTGTTTTAGCTATGATGCACACCAAAACCCATGAACACATCTCCCAACATTAAAAAAACTTGAGCTAGCCTAGATTCTGGGACTCAATTGTTTTCCTTAATCATTAACCTAAGCCACAGTCTATATGGCCCCTCAAGAGAAACTCAAAGTCCTAACTGCATGACACTTCCTTGTTCCTGCCTTATCATGGGTAGGAGAAACACTATATGCTGCCTTTACCTATATTAATTTTCCCACTATACTAACCTCCATAATAGTCCCTAACTACATTTGTTAAAAAACATTAATCATCAAGATTCTATTTAAGGGCCGGGCGGTGGTGGCGCACGCCTTTAATCCCAGCACTCGGGAGGGAGAGCCAGGCGGATCTCTGTGAGTTCGAGGCCAGCCTGGGCTACCAAGTGAGTTCCAGGAAAGGCGCAAAGTTACACAGAGAAACCCTGTCTCGAAAAACCAAAAAAAAAAAAAGATTCTATTTAAACTAACACTATTATTGTATAAAATCATTACTTCAGTTAAACAGTACAACTTAAGAGGAAATCATTTTCATAATAATCCACAAGTAAAAATGCCCAGTAGAATGGTATATTTCCACAAGATAATCACACTACATTAAAGGCAGTGGGGCTTCTCCCACACCCATTTACACCATGCCAGATACCAGAGAAAAATGGCAGCAGCAAACATGTAAAAGCACAGCAGTAGCAAGAGACATTCTGGGGCCAAAGCCCTCAAGACCTTTGGTCAACTTCCTAAAGTTCAATTGCCACTTGCTGCTCCTCTGACACAGCCACTGGCACCCAACAACTCCACTCAAACAGGAAACAGTAAGATCAGTCATCACCCAAATTCCTCTTCAGAAGGTTGGTCTGAGAGATGATGAGAACATGAAGTAAAAACTGGCCAGGCAATTTTAGGGCAAGGCCCCTAGAAGCATCATTTCCAAGAAGGTCTGTGATCCCATCAGTAGTTCTGTCCTTGCCAGTAATATCAGGAGGAAGTCCTGGTTTCCTGTCATCTCCACTCCTCTCGGTGTGACCAGGCATTTGATAGGTGTGCCAAATGTGTGAATTCCCCATGCCTCACCCCAGTTCCTGCTATTGATGCTATGAGAAGCTGCCAGACTAGCAGATGTTTGATGGTACTACTTCCTGGAACCTGCTCCTGCCATCCAGGAGCTCTGCCTTCTTTCTCCTAAGCACCCAGTAATAAAACTCCTTTCTACAACTCACCTCACCCATGAATTTCATTCTTCAAATTCACACGAGAACTTGGCACTGTAGCTAGAGTTTTCCTGCCTTGCCCACAGTCAGGACAAATCTTTGTCACCCGCCAGTCCCACAGCTGCTCAGACCCAACCAAGTAAACACAGAAACTTATATTGGTTACAAACTGTATGGCCATGGCAGGCTTCTTGCTAACTGTTCTTACAGCTTAAATTAATCCATTTCCATTAATCTATACCTTGCCACATGGCTCGTGGCTTACCGGCATCTTCACATGCTGTTTGTCATCGTGGCGGCTGGCAGTGTCTCCCTGACTCAGCCTTCCACTTACCAGCTTTATTCTCCTCCTTGTCCCACCTATACTTCCTGCCTGGTCACGGGCCAATCAGTGATTTATTTATTGACCAATCAGAGCAACACATTTGCCATACAGAACATCCCACAGCATGGCACCATGGGAAGTTTCATATGACCATGAGCTTGCTTTAAGTCCATCTGAATGGAGAGAGAAAGTCTCTGTCAAACTCAAAGAAACCACTACCACCACTACTCCTGTCCACTTCAGGACAATGTGAGGAATCAAAACAAAAAGGGAAACAACTTGTAGTAGTTGAAACGAAGCAATACAACCCGGAAAGTCCAGTGGCCCATCACAAAAGATCCACAATGCAGTAGAGGATAACCTGGGTGCCTAGACTACCTGCCATCTGTGGGTTAGGTCTCTGGGCTCCTAACCCACCACAGAGGCACCCCTTAGGTTGCTGGACAGGGTCAGATCCATACCCATGTGACATCCCTCTTGCTGTCCTAAGTGCAGGAACAATACCAAGGCAGCTGCCTACAATGATACCCCAAGTTTAGGTGGATTTTTCTATCCAACCAGCTAGCTCTCAAATAACCACACAGAGACTTTTTATTAATTATGAAAGTTCAGCCAATATCTTAGGCTTGTTCCTAACTAGCTCTTATAACCTAAATTAACCCATATTTTTATTAATCTATGCTCTACCACATGGCTTTTACCCCTATCCCATTTTATGTGTCCATCTCATTCTTTATCTGTCTGGCTTCTCCACCATTCTTCTTCCCAGCATTCTCTCTGCCCCAAAAATGCTACCTAACTACTGGCTGTTTAGCTTTTTATTAAACCAACCACAGTGATAGATCTTCACACAGTGTAAAGGAATATTCCACAATATTTCCCCCTTTTTGTCTAAATAAAAAAGGAAAGTTTTGGGTTTTTTTTTTTTTTTTTTGGTTTTTTGAGACAGGGTTTCTCTGTGTAGCTTTGCACCTTTCCTGGAACTCACTTGGTAGCCCAGGCTGGCCTCGAACTCACAGAGATCCGCCTGGCTCTGCCTCCTGAGTGCTGGGATTAAAGGCGTGCGCCACCACCGCCCGGCCAAAAGGAAAGGTTTTGACTCTAACATAATAAAACTATAAACAACAAGAACAATTATCAGGCAAGAATTACATTTATAACGTCCAGTCCATTTGTATTCAGAAAAAAATACTCCATTATTTACTCTATCTTGATAAGTCAAAAGCTCTGTACCTAATTTACCTTTTATTGTAACTAAGGAAAAGTATAACTAACCATATAGTCTTTAACTTCATCAAGGACTCCAGAAGGATATATTACCTGAGTAAATAGAAAGTGCAATACAAGCCAATTCCAAAACTATATAAATGATAGAGATATCTGGCTGCCTGGACAGTCACCCAAAGTTCCTCTGCAATGTTGGGGCATCCAGTCTTTGGCCTACAGGCCTAGAATATCTGACACACTTTTCTATGAAGCAGGAATTTTGAAGGACTGTCCCAACTTATCTTGGCAAAGTCCAATAGTCTTTTTGTGTGTGTGTCCTGCTTGTCCAGTTTGTACAGACAAGACAAAAGCAATTTCTTGCCCAAATGACTCGTTTTGCCACACTGAAAGCAAACTCCATATGGGGTTTCTTTGATACCCATCATCCTTTTATGAGGTAGATTGGTGCTGCCAGGAGCAGACATGTCTCATTGTCATGAAAAGCCCTATGTTAACAAAACATTTTAAATGCCATATTCTGTAGGTCTTTGAAGTGTTTGAGACCATCTATCTATCTAAAAATATATCTTTGTGTGACCTTAAAAACATACCTAACATGACTATAAGTTTGATTGTTATAGATTATTATCCTAAGTAGCTTTCAAGGACTAAAATTTTACATTTTTAAATGAAGTGCATAGGTACAATGTCTTAAACAAGAATAGAAACGTATATACAGTATAACAAAAAATAACCTTAAATTTGTATCAATACACAAAAATCCATACCATATTTGAGACTAGTGGCTATACAAAAGCAGACTCAACAATCCATCTTTTTATCCCATCATTTTTATACTATATCCCCCTTTTTCTCTTCAGAAAGAGATCCCTGAATCTAATCTCTTTTGTTCAGTTTTTTTCTGACCATGACCAATAACAATCTTGTAACCAACCCCCCTAAATGATGACAAACATCTATAACCCACTGAATGACCAAAACCCACCCACCCCACTTCTTTGGAATGTAGACATGGTGTTCTCTAGACTGCTTCCTGGTGTCTGGGGATGCTGACATCTTTACGGGACCCTGAGAAAATTGAGATAGTGGTCAAATCCTGGCTGGAATAGTCTGTGAGGCTGGACCATCTCCATCAGCAGCCTTGAAGCTGCTCTGGATGCAGAACTCTAAGGAAACCACAACAGAGGCACTCTGAGAGAGAGACTGGATCACCTGGGCCACCTGTTTTTATTGGTGTCTGGTCCCCTTGTTCCGAAAACACATAAACTTTCAAAGGTAACATGCATATCTGCATTAACACAAGTATGGAATGTGCGGTGTGCACAAGTCAGGTGAAAATGATTTTTTGTTCTATGTTTGAGCAGGTAAAATATATGTCACTTGTCTTGTAGGGTTTGGTGTTTTTTTTAGGTTTATTTCTTTATGTCTGTAGCCAGGATTTTCAAGGGATCTTCTTCGATCAAACCTGATCCTGTTTACCTTTGAAGGAATCCACAGGCTTTTGTTTTGTTTTCTGTGGAAACAAAAGCATAATCTCTTCTCCAATACAACATTTTTTTTGAATTCCATTTTGAAGTTAAGACATTTTAAAAATATATAGGTTGGTTTAACTTAGCAGTTTCTATAATCCAATGTCTCTCTGCAGCTACCATTTGTTCATCAGCAATCAAAAAATTCAAAGACAACATATGTTATATACAAGATCCAGACTCCCTGTGTATTTCCCATCTCTATTTAGCTTATCCTTTTTTTACTTTACTCTTTCTTTTAAAACTTTATTTTAAACTATTATTTTTATGACTGTCTATACTCTTTTTCTTCTCTTTTCATTTTAAGCCTATGCACATTGTTAAACACACTGTAACCTGTTTAGAAGGTTTTTCCATCTGAACCTGTTTTACTGCAGATCTGTGACCTGTTTTATCTGTATGAGAAAAACCTTAAACCTACCATGTGGCTTAGCTCATGGCACACTGTGGCTCAAGCATGCAGACAGCTGCTGGGATACATGTCTCTGTACTGTGGCCAGCATGAGAAACACAAGGAAGCCACATTTGGCTGTTTTGTGTGTTTAAAACCTTTTTCAAGCCTTCTCAGGTTTTATACGGATATATGTGGCCAGACATTGGGCATCATTTGTAGGAAGATTTTTCTGTCCCACCAGCCAGATCTCAAATAACCATACAGAAACTTATTAATTATAAAAACTCAGCCAATAGTTCCTTAACTAGCTCTTATAACTTAAATTAACCCATATTTTTATTAATCTACTTCTACCATGAGGCTTTTACCTCTATCCCATTTTGTGTGTCTGGTTCGTTCTGTGTCTGTCTGGCTTCTCCACCATTCTTCTTCCCAGCATTCTCTCTGCCACCAAAATCCTGCCTAGCATTTTACTAAACCAATCACAGTGATATATCTTCACATAGCGTAAAGGAATATTACACAACATCCCAAGGACATTCCTAGTACTCAAGGGCATCCCCCATAATGCCTCCAGTATATATCCAGTTCTCTGGGAGCTACCCACACAACGACCCAAGGACAGGCCCAGTATCCAGGAAACTGCTTTAACACAGCTCCCCAGAGCAAGCCTTTTACCAAAATGTGTCTCTCATAATGCTCATGGAAGTGTCACTATCCAGGGGGCCACAAACAGGCTGCTTCCTAAAGTAGGGTCAGTACTCAGGAGGCTTCTGTGCTTACCTCACAGCTGCTCTCAAGCTGGAAACAGTGAGGATTGGTAACAATGCTGTTGACCTCACATGGCTCCTAGGACAGACCCAGTACCAAGAGGGTTAGCCACATCTGCCTTCAAGGTGATCCAGTACCTACGGGGTCTGACTCCTTGCTGAATTCAGGGCAGGTACCTGATGCTAGGAGTCACTAGAACACTGGACCCCATGTGAGGCCCGGTATCCAGAGGAAAGCTGCAAACTGCCCACCAGAATACAGGCTTAATACCCAAGAGACTGTCTGCATGCTGACCTAAGGACAGGTCTAGTACCTCAGGGACTTCACAGAAGCTGACCTTAATACAGGTTCAATATCCAGGCTTGGCCCAGTGAGAATGCCACCTCTTTCACTGACAAAGAAGACCCATCAGAATTCATGGGGCCCACTATCCCTGCTTCACTGGAATCTTCCTATATCCTCCATCTCAACTTACAGGATCCCATTCTTTTGAAATTCTCATTTCAAAAGCTTCCTGCAAGGCTAGAACTTCTATCCAGACAACTGGAGAATAAGATTCTGCATTTGGTTTTCAGCAATCTTAGCTTTGCAGCTACAGGAGACACCGTTCTCCTCTAGGTCTCCACAGAAGCTTTCTGGTCCTTTATGCAGCACATGATCTGGGAATTCAGATCCCTGAATTTGTCCTTTTACTACATCACACTGTCCAGCAATGTAAGGATCAAGCGGCCAACCTTGCTTGATCTACTGCCAGCTCCCTCCTAGACCACTGATGCTCTGGTTACTACTGGAAATACAACAGCCCTCTCCTGTCTTTGGGGCCTATGTTCTGACATACAACCCGAAACTGATGTCCAAAACTGAAGCTGACACTAACAGTGAATCCCATATATACTAGAGACCTCATGTTCCAGACCCTTGCAGCCAAAACTGAGGATCCCAAGGTCACTCAGGGAAGGACCATGGAGGCTGTCATAACAGCCACCACTTACTGAATACCACCCACTGTGCACAGTACTAAATACAAAACTACCCAAACAACAAACCTCAAAGCACCCAGAAACCTATTGGGACCTCAGACTACATAGCTAGTCCATGTCCCACAGACCCTGACTGTTCTGTTTGCAATTCAGTAGGACCCTGCAGGACTCACCTGGAGCAGAGCTCCCCCCTGGGCCCCTAGGATCTGATTATATATATGTATATGTATATGTATATGTATATGTATATGTATATGTATATATATACATACATACATACACATATATATATATCAGGCAGCCTAGGAGCCCCATGGGTCTCCTCAGGAGCAAATGAAACCCAGGCATCCTTTCACACTATCTTTCTAGCCTAGTTCTGAGTGAACACACCTCCCCACACTGAGGCCAGTTAGAGCTTGCTCTACTCCTGCTCTGGGCCTTTATGCTAAGGAAGCTCCCAGTGTTTCACCATTTCCAGGAGGTAACTGAGGCACACTGGTTGTTCCTAGTTTTGTGACAGCAGGTGTTAGAAGCAAAGCCTGGATTCAGATTTAGATAGCTGGTGACAGGCACCTACTCCAAACCATGGCCAGGGCAGGAAGTAGAGGTACGGCCAGAATCAGACCTCTGTCCACACAATTTCCTCTCGTTTGATGGCTCTGAGCCTACAGTGGTGTCGTGATCCATAACTCAGTTCACATGGTGCTGGGCTCCTCTCAGAGGTGCAGAAGCCACATGCCAATGCTCCTCCTCAGGAACTTTGGAAAGTATGAATCGTTTCCCTGCAGGTGAAATCATCCACACCAAAGGCAGCAGGGTTTCTTGTCTCTTGAGGAGGGCTACTTGGAATGATAGGATGCAGGGGGCAAGGGAGGGTGTAAATTTAGGGAAGGAGAGTCAAGTGATTCTGCTTCTGAAAATCCCCTGGTTTCTTTACATCAGCATCTCCTGTGTGTGGTGAGTGGCAGAGAACTGCCTCTCCCCCCGGCAGGAGGCAGGCTGCTTTGCTCATGGGTCTCACTTCTCTTCTTCCTCCCCCTGCAAATGATCACAGCTTGGAAACTTGTTTAAAGGAAGTGGTTGTTCTTGTGGCCCCCAGTCCTGGAGATGAAGCACTTCTGGTTAAAATGATTCAACGAGAAACCACGCCCCCACGAAGGCTATCTCACCCTGCCCTGGTCCTGGAGCTCTACTTGCCGAGTACTTCTACCCTGTTAGACTTGGCCCACCACATGCTGCCCTTAGCCCAGGCAGCCATGTGGCCGACCATTCTGCTTGCCCTCTGCTGCCTGACTTCCGACACCCATGGGGCACACTCCCCAGGTAAGAGAAGGGTCATCTGGTCCCATCTCGGGGTGCTGTCCTGACCATCTTGTAGTAGTGGAGGCATGGGGGCCCTGGCCTGGTAGTCTTGCAACTTTCCCAGGACACTCTTGGAGCCCTGGGAAAGACCCGGGGCTAGGGGCTCTGGATCCGGGCAGCAGCTACTGCCAAGCTGAACAAACATCTGGGATTAAGCATGGCAGCAGCCACAGGGATAGGGAGAGCAATTTTTGTTCCGTTCTGTGCTCGGGCCCACCACAGAGACAGAAAGAGGCAGAGGCAAGGGTCTCAGTCAAACAGCCTGTATCTGACAGCTTTTCTCTCCTGCCTGTGTCTTTATTGCAGGGACCCCAATAAGACACTCATTCTACCCACAGTCAGCATGTTGGTGGCCAGTGAGGGGTGGAGGCCACCTGTGTTGAGAAGCTGACACAGGGAGGTTAGCTGACTTGCTAGCCCAGCCATGAACGCCTGTTTGCCCACAGAGAGCCGGATGATATCCGCCCCTGCAAGCAGATTCAGCACACAGATAAAGTTTGAGGGCTTTGCCTCTAATGGACAAGAAAGCTGATAACTGACCATCTCCCACCAAAAGAGGACAGCACGTAGGCATAAGGCTTTTGTCATTCTTCCTGTTTGAAACAGGCTGGGTCTAGTCACAGAGGATTAGGCAGAGGATTCGGGGAACACACAGTGAAAGGTAATACCCAAGAGACACCAGGGATGTGGGATTCCCCATCACAGCAAATCAGGTGCCAAGAAATCAGTGGAGTGCATAGCCTCAGAATCCAAGACCTGATGTGTTTGCTGTGAATTGGGCACTATGAATATAGGACAAGAACAGGGTATGGGTGGGGGGCAGCTTCTGCTCTGAGATAAAGACAAGCCACAGCAGCCCAAGGGGTGGTTGGCAAACAGGTAGCTAGAAGCATTGGTAGGAGAGACAGACTAGGTCAGGCCATGGATCCTGCCTTTCTGTGTCCTGCTCTGTGGTGCTATTGTGTTCCTCAAAATATTGCACACCCTGATAAACTTATCTGGGGTCAGAGAATAGAACAGCCACTAGATATAGAGGCCAGAAAATGGTGGCACACACGCCTTTAATCCTATCACTTGGGAGGCAGAGATCCATTCGGATCTCTGTGAGTTTAAAGCCAGGCATGGTGACTCACACCTTTAATCCCAGGAAGTGATGGCAGAAAGCAGAAAGGTATATAAAGCATGAGGACCAGGAACTAGAGTGGTTAAGTTTTTAGGCTTTGAGCAGCACAGTTCAGCAGAGACCCATTCTAGATGAGGACTCAGAGGCTTCCAGTCTAAGGAAACAGGATCAGCTGAGGAATTGGCAAGGCGAGGTAGCTGTGGCTTGTTCTGCTTCTCTGATCTTCCAGCATTCACCCCAATACCTGGCTCCGGGTTTGTTTTTATTAATAAGACCTTTAGAGTTTCATGCTACACTGCTCCCTGCAGCCTTAGTGCTGGCTAGGAAGCCCTTCCTGCCTCCCTCCTGTTCCTCTGTCTCAGTTTTCCAGGGAGAGACACAGGCAGAATCTGGGGCTTCATTCTACAAAGCCCTCTTAGCCTGTGTGGGAGGTCTAGGGAGGGCCCTGGTGCTGTCTCTCCTGTCCTGGAGTTCCACTATTTAGACTCAGTGTTTGGAAGATGCTGTACTTGCCTCCTCTGGGACCTCACTAAACAGAGTAGCCACATCCAGTGTGACAGTTGACGGCATCAGACAGCCTTTGGGGGAGGTGTTTGAGAACGGTCAGTTCCCTATCTCTACCATGATATTTTCCCACTAGTGTATGAGACTGAAAGGAGTCCTCCCCATTCCTCCTGCCTACAGCAGCTTCTCTGGGTCACCTCCTTCAAACCTCTTTGCCCCAGACCCAATAAACACCACCCTCACACTGGAACCTGAAAACACCACCACAGGCCCCCTACCGACCAGCTGAGGACTCTTGACCTTTCAGCCTGCCCTTTGAAATGGCCCGTAAACTGCTCCTGACCTGAGCGAGAGTCTTAATGAAAGCGCATCGGTGATGACTTTGAAAGTGCTTGGAGGCCTGGGGTACTCCTGACAGTACCACCCTGGTCTGCAAGTCTGTGGTCAGGCCTTTCACTCTGCTATGCTAATGAACCCCACCTCCACCCACTGGGGTACCACCCTTCCTGATGCTTCCAGTAAGGGCCTCATCTGAGCTCAGGTCCCTCTCTCAGGACTCAAACAGCTGGGAACCTGGGCCCCTGATGGTTTCTCTCTTTCTCTCTCTCTCTCTCTCTCTCACACACACACACACACACACACACACACACACACACACCACCTTCCCTACTTCCTGTGGGATTCTAGAGCCTCCTATGAGCCCAAGGCACGGGCAACAGGGAGACTGACTATGTCTGATCTGAGCACATGGCTTCACTCTGTGCCCAGGAGTTAAGCTGCCCATACCCACATGCAGGGCCCAGGGAAGGATCCCCAGTCTTCAGAATTTAGGAAATTGCCACATTCAATTGCTGTTGGTGAGAATGGGGAGCCTTCTTTCTCAATGTGTCACCTCTTCCAAGGTTCCCTGCTGCTGGTCACCCTCTCCCTCATCCCCTGCCCCTCTCCAGTAGGACTTGCAGGATACTTGTCTGCTAAAGCAAGAAACCTACATGTGCCAATGCAGCCACCTGCTCCCCATAGCAAGGGCTAGGGGCATAACTAGGCCTGGGTATGACAGATTCCCCTAGAAGGCTCTGGAAGCTGGTGCAGGCTGGGTCTGGGCCTGAGCAGACCACTGGCCCAGCCTGTGTTTTAGGATTTTCAATGAATACGTTTGTCCTCAGAGATCCTTACCGTGGCCATATTGTACCTGATATGGTATTGAATAATACTGACACCTCTGCGTCATGCCGACTGCCTCCTTTCTTCTTACCCTGAGAGGTCAGCGTCAGCATCATCCCCATTACAGATGGGACATGGGGGCTCAGAAAGGTTAAGCAGCTTGCACAAGCCAGCACAGTCAATAAGGACAACCGAAATTCTAACCATGGGTTTGTCCCCGTTGGTAAAGACAGAATTAATCCTATCAAGTATCAGCATCCATGCATGAGGAGACAATACTGCCTCAAAGAAGCCCACCCCACCCTCACAACTCAGGGCCTCAAAGCATAAGCATGACCCATAGAACTCATGGCAAAGACATGGACTTGAGGGGGGTTGCTGGTATAAAATGAGGGAGCTTAAGAGGTACAGAGTATGGGTGACTCACCTGCAGCTGGGCAGAGCCTGGCATTTACTCCATCGCCATCCCAGTCCTCAGACTTCCTCGGGCTTCTGTGGGAACATCATAAAGGGCTGGAGAGCATGCTGACAGTCCAGAGGTCACTGGGTAGGATCCAGCTATGAGCAATCTACAGACCAGACCCAGTCCCAAAGCCCTATTGAACAAGAACACTAGCGGCATGTTATTTTTCTTAGGATAAAGGGCTTTAGTGGCCCGTGCCGAGGAAGCCTGGCAGCAATGATAAGCTGTAACTGAATCTTGTGTCTCTAGCTTGGGAGCCTTTTGCCAGGAGACCCTGCTTGGTCACACAATGGGATGCCCCAAGGACAGGTGTCCAACAGACCATGACTTTTCTACTTTACCACCCTCCCCTTGGCCCACATAAGAAGACCTGTAGTGGGCTGCAGATAGTGGACTATAGATGATGCTCACACACAGAAATAAGTGAGTAAAAACGAAAATGCAATAAAAACGAAAAGCTCGAGGCTAGTGGGGGGTGGGGGGGGGGTGGGATAGAGGGCTTTAGATTGGTAAACTTATCTTTTTAAGACCTTGCTGAGATGTTAGTGTGCTGATGACTGCCTGGAGCTAGACACCGAGAGGCAAGTGCTGGCTGCTGTTGTGGCTGTGTTATTATAGCAACCGTAGATCCCAAGTTCCTTTTGAGGACAAGATGCTCCCCCATCCCAGTGACTGAGTGGGTGGTCATTAAGGCCCAGTGGAAGTGGAGGGAGAAATGCCTTTTACCTTGACCTGGGAGTTAGGAATGAATACTGTAGGTAGATGCCACCTCAGAATCAGAAGGCAGGAGGCTTCTGTGGAGCTTTTGTGGGGAAGGTTTCAGCATCGAAGGCCAGGGAAGGAGTCGGCCTTTATATCAAACATGGTCTTTAGAGCAGTCTGTCTGTCTGTATGGCCGCTAGAATCGTGATACCCAGAGTGGGGTGGTCAGGTCTGTTGGTACATCTCCAGTCACACCGGATATGAGAGGTGGAGATAGCTCAGGTCAACAGGGAGGTCCTTCCTGGATGTCAGTGATCTGTCAGAGAACCTTAAGTGAAGCACTGCAAAAGGCTGTTTCCATTGCTTCTTAGAACCTGAATGAGGGGAGCCAGCCAGCAGGGCAAGCATCATCTACTGGTTCACTGATTCTTTTATTTTCCTAGTAAAAAAAGTCCAGACTCTGAAGCTACGTGGCCAAATGCAAACGCCTGGCCAAGCCCTGTTCCCCTCGCTGCAGCCACCCCGCCTCTGGGATGCTGGGAACTGATCCCATGAATGAGCTGGGCAAGAGACTGAATCAGGGTCTCCAGGAAGGTGGCTCTTCAGGATCAGTTAGCCCCATGCCTCCGGGAGCAGGGAGTCCCAAGTGGGAAGCTAGGATTCCAAGTTCTGCCTGGCTGTAAGATAGATGCCCCTCATACTGTTCCCCCATTTTTTACACACAAATATGAACTCCTTGGTACAGGAAAACAGGTCTAGGTGGCAATCAGCTGACCACGCTCTCACACCCACAGCACACCAGGCTCTGGACCCAAAACTCAAGGGACAACATTCACTGGGAGGGAGAAGATATGGATATCAGCACCTCAGGAGTCACAGGCTGTGTTTAAGGTGTGCCTGAGCAGACATGGACAGGCCACTCTGACGAGGTGTGAGAGTGCAGGAGGGATTCTGTGGGGAGTACAGCCAGCCTCAAAAACCAGTCTGGGCAAATTAACACATTTCCTGTCTGGAGTTCTACTGCCTGGGGCCCCATGTTGAGAATAAACCTGGGTTCTGAAAAAGGCTGTGTAAGCAGGGACTAGGGGACAGGAATTATACTATTGGATATATATATACTATATATATCCGTGGCATCTGTCCTCAACTTCAAGTAAAGAACATAATGAGGACGCACAATATTCAGGTGGTGGAGTAAATAGGAGGTAGGCACACAGGTGACGGTGGAGGAGGAGCGAGGGCCACACAGCTGAGAGAACTTGGGTACCACCAGGGATGAGGCACGACCCACTGATCCAGTATTCCACTGACATCAATGTTTTCTTCTGGTCCTTTTGTTTCTTTCAGATTTTTGTTCCAAAGATTTAAACTCCAGTGTGAAACCAGGATTTCCCAAACCAATAAAGACCAATAACCCAGGAGTGCTTAAGGCGGCCAGGCACAGTGTGGACAAGTTCAACAACTGCACGAATGACATCTTCCTGTTCAAGGAGTCCCGGGTCAACAAAGCCCTGGTCCAGGTGCGGAGGACCACCAGCTGGCACCTCAGGACAGCCCTTCCTGGGAAGCTGGGCCACATAACCTACAGCATCAGAGCAGAGTTGTGCTGCAGCTGAGACCATTGTTGCCCAGAGTTGGGCATGACAGCCAGGGCAAGAGTCCCTCAGTGGCAACAAGAAATGGGAGTGGAGGAATAAGGGTCCTAGAGTGGTGTGCTGAGGCTGACTACCCAGCAGGGAGGGCACTGCAGTACTAGTCGGAGCTGCCCCACCAGGGTCCAGGGTCCGGGCATCTCCTGTCATCATCCCTCACCCACAGTCCACAAAGCCATTGGGCTATTTTCCCTCTGGACCCATTCATTTTCCTCCTAGAGCTGGGCCCGCTCCCTTTGCAGACCCACAAACCCACTCTTCCTCCAGCCTGCTCTCAAGTGTCACCATCCCAAGCCAGCCTTCTTAGTGACTGATTACATCCACTCAGAACTTCCTTCCCTGGGGACCCTAGGGGGCACGGCCAGCCTTGCTAATCCTTGTGTCCCAAAAACAAGTGTTGACATGACAGGAGGAGACACCGGGCAACCTCTCACTTGCTGTACATACAGGCCCTGCGCAGCACTCTGCTGACATGTGGACCTAGTTTTAGGAGACTGTGCTGGGGCCTGCAGGGAAAAGGCTACAGAAGGGCCTGCTGAGGATGAAGGTTTCACAGCATTCATGTTTGTTCTGGGCCACGGAGTCAGGGCGGCTTCCCTAGTCTTCTTTTGACAACTATAAACTCTTTAAGAGTGTAATGTATCAGAAAGGATATATTAGGAACACTCTGGTGTGTAGAACTATCAGCACTCCAAGGACCAGCCTCAGACAATCAGATCTCTGGGCCTGAGTGCCCAAAGTCCCCCATAAGGGAGATGAGCATTCTCCCTCTGTACTCTATTGGTGAAATTATTAAGGCCACTCCACGTAGTTAAAAGGGAGGTTTATTTTGTGGGGTAACTTACAAGTGAAGGGATAGGTAACAGGGTCTGGGAAAGGTGTAGCGCAGTCCAGCAGTGTTCTCTGGAAAACTCTGCTCAGTTTACCTCCAGCGTCCAGGGTCCAGGAACCAAGGGAGCTCCCCCATCCAGATCTCGGGTCTTCAGGGGTCCTCTCTCGGCTCCTCGCCTTGTAGGCATGACAGTTACCGAAGCCTCAAAGGGGGTGGTATTTTCAGGTCAAAGCTGGAATGGCTACCCACTACAGTACCTCATGATGTTGGAGACTATTTCACATGATATTTGGTTAAGACTGGGACTAAAAGTTGAGGAACTTTCCTCCAACTATACAGAAACCACAAACAAGAAAAAGGACTAAGTCATGGCCGTGTCCAAGTGGAGGGGGCTATTTTGAAACTCAAAATAAATCCGTTCCCACAAGAGTGGAGAAGCCAGTGGGTACTATGCATGCCAACAAGCAGTATAGCAGTCAGCGGGCTTGCCACCCATTTAAACACCACTGCGGGTCAATAGGGGCTGTTGGGTAGGTGAGATGACAGCTAAGAGAGAGACGGCAAGTCTTTACCTGTCGCTATGGCAACCCTGTTTCTCCAGAATGCAAAGTTCTGGGCAGAAAACAAGTCCCTAAGCCAGGGCTATAGGACACTGATAGCAGGCAGGGAAGAGGGTCAGCTGAAGCTGGGCCTGCTCATCCAGAGCCACACTCCTGGCAAGCCCTGAGCTTGCCTCCCCTGTGCCCAGCTCCACGGGACTCTCCTCCCCTCACTCCTCACCAGCTAGGGAGGCAGTGACCCTCTTGCATCCTATGCCAAGTAATCTAGTTCTTGGGTCTTTGGTTTCTTCAGGTGGTGAAGGGTCTGAAATACATGCTGGAGCTGGAAATCGGCAGAACTACATGCAGGAAGACCATGCACCCCCATCTGGACAACTGTGACTTCCAAACCAACCCTGCCTTGAAACGGGTAAGACAAAAGTCTGTCTGCTGAGCCCTGCCCACCCCCAGTCACCCAACTCCCCTTTCAGGACTGCAGTTCCTCACTGGCAACACCTCTCCACACCTCATTCCCAAGGAGATGCTCCCTCCCAACCAAGAACACATGACAGCAGGGGTTAGGCATGCTCTCAAGGGACACAGGGTTGAAAGGCAGTGTCCTCCCACCCCTCACATGACCTATACCACCTGACTTTCACTTCCTGAAGCCTCTTTGCAAAGTAATAATCTGAATTTGGGAGAGGGACATTACAGCAGGCAAAGTTTTCAAATATTTCAGAAATCATATGCAACACCTACATACACAGGACAGGATATGTATATTATACTATACATATACATATCATGTGCTGTATTACTATGTATTATCTCTCTACAGAGAAAGCAAAAGCAATGTGGGAAACTTTAACAATTCATAACTATAGATGAGAAACATATACTCTTGAATCACTCCAACTTTTAGTAGGTTTGAAGATTTTCAAAATAAAAGCTGAAGGTGGGTAAGGGAGAGACTGCCCCAGCAGGGAATACATGTGTATGCATGCACATTCACACACAGCTCCCAGTTGCCTGGCATGCACAAAGGGTACTCAAAGAGCTGCCCTGGGTGGACAGGGTCTCTGTGGCAGCTGAGGTTCTCAGATGAGCCCTTTTGTGTTTCAGACTCTGAACTGCTACTCTGAAGTCTGGGTCATACCCTGGCTCCACAGCTTTGAAGTACCTGTTCTCCGCTGCCACTGACTTCTGCCTCTTCAGCAATACCAGGGCTGTGCCCTCCTACTCCCTACTTTTCCACCCCAGCCTGGACATCTTGATCCTCGGGGCCTTCTTACCAGTGAGCAGGTGGAAATGCCAGTGGGTCATCAGGTGATGAGAATGGGAGAATATAGTGCCCTCCTGGCCAGATTAACTGTATTCACATTGTCTTCTAAAATTAATTCTTCTGGTGCTGCACACCCAGATTCAGGAAGTGGGCATAGACAGAATCCTTTGATGGCATTACTGGGGCATGGGTAGAGCAAAGCAGGTAGAGTCAACAAGGTAGTAGTAGTGTGGAAGGCTTCCTGATAACTGACTGAACAGACTTTGTATCCATCTCTTGTCTACTATTAACATCAGACCACTGTTGATGAGAGTGGTTTATCATAAATAAAAAACTGATCATCTCAAAGCAATACTGTGTATGTTACCCTTCATAAGAACCCAGGAATGTGGGCAGCCTGGTGAATTTAGCCTCAGGAGGCTTCATGAGGTGATAAGCTATAAGCACAAGTGCGCTGAAGACCTAAGCAACTGGCCCAGACCTTCTCATCAACAGGGTAACAGCACCCAGAGAATTAGAGAGGAAGCATTTCTGAAGGAACAGGGCCTCCACCCAAGTTCTCTGCTGCCTTGAAGGCTAATAGTTTGGGAGTGCTCAACACAGAGTAGGGTAAAGGATGGGACCCCTCAAAGCCATCCACTGGAGACAGAGCACATATGGAGCCTGGATGAAGGGGCTGGGGTGGGGATAGACAGGCTGTGTGGGGCCCTGGAAGAAGGAAGAGGCAACCAAGAGTTGCAGGGCACTGGAAACTTGGGAAAGACAGCAATGGAGCTTGAGCAGGAAGATGCACAGGGACAGAGCAGAGGGTAAACCCAGAATGGGCAGGCAGCCGGGTCTCAGAGCCCTCATTCTGAGGGAACCCAGATTGAGTACTAAGGAGTACAAGGGTGGACTTCTCTCTGGGCTCTCCTCAAACTATGAATACAAAGCAGAAAGATGCGGGCACCTGGAAGCAATACAGACTTGATAACAACTAAATGTGCATGGCAATGTAACTGCTGTAACCCTCCCAACAGGACAGCACAGTGATCTGCCTTGGCGTCCTTCAAATTCCACCTTATTTTTGTCCTGACTACCTCCAGGCTATTTTAACTCAGAACAGTGATAGCAGCGATGCCACAAGACACGGACTTCACTTGGCAATTTGTGGAGCCACTGAAGCCAATTCTTGAGAAAGATCCATGACCCCACATATAACCAAACAGAGTCACAGGGTGCACAGCCAGCATCCTCGGGATGCAGCTGTGTGATGTCCATGATAAAGCAGTAGGTGAAGGGTTCCCTATCCTGGTTTTCCTAAGTATCAATGACAGCACATCAAGGTCTGGTCTACCTGCTTCCCCTTAGCCATCCAGAATCCTGACAGAGCTCAACTCTGATGTTCTAGAGCTTTCTCCAGCCATGCCCTTGCCACACATTCCTCACCAGATACATTGTGCCAGCTCCATGACCAAATACTTCAACTATCTGCTTCTGCTGAGTTAGCAACCCATGCAGGTGGCAAAGTGAGCTGACCTACAATTACTGCTCCAAAACACATCACTCTCACCCCTGCCCATGGGAACTCCTCACACCACTGTTGGCCAGGCCACCATACACACTCTAAGGCATCTTGAGGGACTCTGCTATACCACCAAGGTCCTGGCCCAAGCCCATGACCTGAAAACTGCAGCAGCCACTGCCTCCAAAGCCTTGGGAAGGCCACTTACCTCCTGTCCAGCCTTACAGAACATTCCTCATTTACTAGAACAAGGACTCCAGCTCAGTCATGTTCTGGCGGTGACACTGAGCAATCACTAACCCTTGAGCCTCAGTTCTCATCCATACAAGGCCATCCATTCCTGCATCGCTAATTCAACATATGCCTGCACATATAGCTTTAGCTACTCAGGAGCTGAGAGAGAAGAGTGGCTTGAGCCCATGAATCCAAGACCAGCCTGCACAATGTAGCAAGACCATATCTCAAAAAAACTGGTAAGACAATATATGTGAAAAACTTCCAAAATTATACATAACCACTCCGTAAGGATATGTTGACCATAAAAATCTCAAAAGGCATTTCATTGCAATGTCAGGCAAAAACTCTTTTTTTTTTTTTTTTTTTTTTTTTTTTAAATTTTGGTTTTTCAAGACAGGGTTTCTCTGTGTAGCTTTGGAGCCTGTCCTGGAACTCACTCTATAGCCCAGGCTGGCCTCGAAATCACAGAGATCCGCCTGCCTCTGCCTCCCGAGTGCTGGGATTAAAGGCGTGCGCCACCACCACCCGGCAAAAAACTGACTCTTAACAGAGTTTTGAAACAGTGTCGAGGCAAATTATTAATTACCTGATTAATCTTATGGACATATTAATAACCCATATTAGAGAAGATTCCTTTTATGTTTACAAGAAAAGCATGCCACATATGTGAAGCTCCTAAGACAACAGTCTTTAGCACCAAATAACCAGATAAACGTAGGAAATGACGCCTGGGAGCTGAAAGCGACAGCTGAGTCAAAAGCCAGAGTCCTTTGCTAAAAGTTCACAAAAACGATCACTTCACCAGGGAGAATTCAGCCCTGAAGGCCAAACTCTCTAGTTCTTAGAGACTCCCTTGTGTTACCCAGGTATTCATGCATCCCTGATAGGACACACCACTGTATGACATACCGTTCGGTTCGCTTTCCTATAAAGTTCCAGAAATAGCACTGACAGTTGTTTAGCTGATGAAACACGGTTGCATTCACTGGTCTGAAGGCCATCTCACCACAAACCTACTGTTGCTTTATTTCTACAAACCAGTCCCGAGGAGGTGACACAAGATTGGGAAAGACGACTCCTCAGACTCCAGCCACTTCTCCAACTGCACATGAGCAGTGTGGGGAGGAAGGGCAGCCAGTGGTTCTCACTTACCGCAGCTATTGACTTCTTTCAATTTTTACATCGTTAACTATTCAAATTACTTTTCTGTCAAGTTATTTCAAACACTTCCAGAGACACCATCTTTTCAGCATTCTCACACCCAAGGAGAAAAGAAACAGGTACCAACAGCAGAGGACACAAACAGGAGCAAAGGCCAACATCAACTTACCTGGGATCAATCAAAACTGGGAGACACCACCAGAGGACCCTGGGCGCCCTAAGAGGTCCCCTTAGCTTCACTTCTAAGCAAACCAGATGGCTGTATGGTCCTAAAATACCCTTACCAAAAGTTTTCATACTGACACTGTTAAGCAATTAAAGTAGAAAAATAAAATAATTAAAGTAGAGAAGAAACTCCCAAGCCACTTCATCAAAAAGAGTAACCAGCAGAAAAGTGGGTTTTATATTATTTATTATCATCAAAATTAAGACCAGTGTATAAACAGACTTGCCAAGAAATAAGCAACTCTGAGCCTATTACATTAGCACAAACATCAACAGGTCGCTACTCACATCTGTAGGTAGAAAGGTAATGAACCAAGCCATAAAAAGGACATTTCTAAAGCACACTGTGCAGGTACAGACTCGCTGGGTCACCCAATTCTAGTGGAGGAGGTAGTCACAGCAAGAAGCCCAATGAAATGCTCTTGGCCACTAAAACACGAGTCTTGAAAACCCTCTGGCATGAAAAGAGGCTGAGCCATAGCATGTAGAGGTTGGGAGGACACCCTTTACTATGGAGGAAGAGTCCAGGTATTCCCACACATCTCACATGACCCTGAGAACAAAGTTTCAGCTTGCATGATCCCAGCCAGCAACCTCAACACACCTGCACTGGCACTTCCACACCATCCCCGACAAGCATGACCCCACTTTAGAATGAAGACACTGAATGTGGCAGAAAGAGCCGACTGCAACAGAAAGGTCCCTGCATAGCTAATCCCATACTCTAATCAAACCCTGAGCCCTGGGACAAGTGTAGGAAATTCTCCAAGTCCTAGAGATTTCGGGTACTTAGCGTGAAATTTTGTTAAAGAGATATTGGCTTTCTGTGAATTGTCTTTCCCACAGCAGATACACTGTTTCCCTCTAAAAGTGACATCAAGTCCAGGTGAGAGGCACCTCTTGGAGACCATACCTTCTCCAGGTTGCAGCAGCTACTCCCACACTTCCAAGGACTAACAGGAACAGAAGGACAAAGCTATGTCCATGGCTCCTTCCAGACCTATGGTAGCTGAGTGTGATGATTCCTGGCATGCACAGTGAGAGCAGCTGCTGGGCTGACTAAATAGACTGGAGGCTGAGTCTGCAGATGAAGGGCGATCTGAAGGAACCCAGGTACAGATGTCCATCATGTTCATGTGCCTCACTCACATAGGTGACCACCAGTCCATCAGGATCATGCAGGCTTCTCCGGAAGGCACCACTGTCACTGAGTTCTAGGACCAGGCTATACCGTGGCACAAACTTCATCACCGTCTCCTGACTGAACAGCTGGAAAGGAAATATCAGAGATGAGAGCTTACCTTCTGACTGCAAGCAAACTGATCATACAACTTCTCATCATCTACGAGTAGCCCAGCATCCTGGGGATAGGGAGGTCCCAAAGTGCAGGGGCAAAAATCATGTTCCCCACTCCCATGCAGATCAGACTAAGGAGGTCAAGCCTGCATAGGGACAGCGATGGCTTAGCTAACCACAGAAAAAATGCAAGATCACATTCCAAGAGATCACTACACTGAAGTCAAGCTGAAAACCATCTCTGTCTACCAGAACACTGGGTCAAAACCAGTACAGCTTAACCACAAGTCTTACACTCAAGGAATGTAAGAGGCAAATGATGAGAGTTTAAAAAGCCTTTCACAGTCACAAAAGGGCTGGGAGGTTTAAGTGAGCAAGTCCATCCTATGATATCCCCTCTGAACAAGCCCATTTTGACGTCTTCCTTGAAACTTGGTCTGCAGTCCCTGTGGGCGAGCCCCTGTACAGAGTGCTGAGCTGGGCACCTGTGAGCACAGCTACAAACAGATGTAGCCTTGTGGGGCTCATACAAAGTTTAAGCAGAGAAATCCCATGGAGGGACACGATTTCTGGCAATGGAGAAAGACAGTGGAAAAAAGCAACTTGTGTAGAGTTTAGAAGCAGGCCTGAGCCGGGCGGTGGTGGCGCACGCCTTTAATCCCAGCACTCGGGAGGCAGAGCCAGGCGGATCTCTGTGAGTTCGAGGCCAGCCTGGTCTCCAAAGCGAGTTCCAGGAAAGGCGCAAAGCTACACAGAGAAACCCTGTCTCGAAAAACCAAAAAAAAAAAAAAAAAAAAAGAAGCAGGCCTGAGTCTTCTTTCTCAGATAGGAGCGACAGCTACACCATGGTTGCACTTGGAGGAACTTATTAAACAGCAAACACATCTATGCATGGTGGCAAACACCTATAACCCCAGCACGTGAGGGGCAGAGGCTGGCAGAAGGCAAGTTCTAGTCAAATCTAGGCAGTTATATAGTAAAATCCTGTCTCAAAAACAAAGGAAATACATGCAAGATAAGGTGACCCAGGCATCTCACTTCGGTGAGACAAGGAAGGTACAAAGATGAGGGGAGCTAAGAAAACGAGAATAAAGCCCTAGAGCTCAGTTCTACTACAGGTAATCTGCATACACGCCGGCTTTAAATTTTAAACTAGTATGATCAAGAAATGTAGGTGTAAGCATATGCTTGCACTTCCTAGCTTTGCTCCTCAGGAACCAATGAACAGTGCTGACCAAAAGAATCAGCACTGATACCCAGAAGTCCAAGTGCTCCCCCAAAGAAACGGCCAATTCCAGAGCAGGGAAAATGCAACATGGGTGTGTTCATTTCCTCAGAACTGAAACTTTCCCTCCTGGAGAGGGGAGAGGGGCTCCTAAGATCGCAAAAGCCAAGGAGTCATGAGACTCACAGGGTGTGAAGGAAGGCAGAAGCAGGTCAAAAGAGCCACTGTAGACAGAGAGCAGCAGGACTACCAGGTAAGGTGGCCTCCGAAGTCAGCAAGGTGAAGTGACAAAAATACTCGGAAGCAAGGAAAACAGAAGAAAGAGAGGAGGGAGACTCAAGTGTTTCAACTGTATTTTCGGCTAAAGAATAAAACCTGTTTACAGTACTAGAGGAGTTCCTTCGCCAGCAAGTGCTTACCACTCAAGCACCCAGGTAAAAAGCCAAAAGTGGCAGCACACACCCGATGCTGGGGATGTGCAGACAGGCAGATCCCTGAGGCTCAAAGGCTGGCCAGCCTTGCCCACCTGATGAACCTCAGATGAGAGACCCTGTTTCACAAAAGAAGGTAGACAGTTCCAGAGGACTGACCCTATGGTTGACATCTAGCCTTCACACACATGCACACACCTAAGCATGAACACACGTGTGCTTAAAGTAGGTGTGACAGGTACCAATATTCTAACTGGAACTGAGGTTTGAGAGCTAGTCAGGCCAATGGAAACAGACCATTAGACTCATCTCCACCTTGCTTTTGGGAATCAGTTTTCATAATTACCTTAAAAATCATTCTCTTAATAAAAGGCTTCTCAGATAAGAAATCCAACATGGAAAACCCGGGGTTAGCACGAATTGTTGCAGCAGCAACCCAGTACCCGCCGGAGCTGCTGGGCCGGATATTGTCAGGAAATCCAGGCATGTTCTCCACAAACATATCTGCCCCTCCTTTCATCAGGCCAGACACATAGACTCTGAAAAACATGCCCAAGTAGGCAATGCAAAGTAGAAAAAAATTTAAGGTAAAATTTTTAGCCAGGCACAAACCTGGTCTTAGTTCAAGTATCTGCACAGAAAATACTATTCACGTGTCTGTCGTGAACGCAAGCAGAGTTGCTGACACACATCTTGAGGACCACACAAGCAGGAAGAGCCAAAGTCCACCTTACAGGGGAACAGACTGCAGGCTACGCAAATGGCATGAACTCAAGACACACTCTGGACTGTGACCCTCACAAGGGCTGAAACATGAGGAAGGAAGCCTATCCTAACTTCAACTTTCTCATCATTACACAGAGCAGTGGCCAAAAGCATCCAAACCAGACATCCATTCCCCTTGTTTCTTTCTATCCTACCACAGGCCCTGACAAGCTCTGTTCACACCACACACACACACACACACCTTCGTATCCTGGCCATGGTTGTCTCTGCCACCAGAACGAAGTCTTCCTCAGGAGAGAGCTGAACTCCATTGGGGAACCTCAACTGGTCCAACAAAACCTTCACTTCTTTCGTCACAGTGTCGTACTCCAGCAGGCTGTGGAAGGCCCAACACAGCAGTCACACAGGGGAAGAGCCCAAGATCTCCTGTGGGCTTGGGGCAAGGGAAAGTGACTCAGCCTCCCACTGGAGGGATAGAACCCATGTCAGGGATCTGTATGAGCCTGGTCCCAAGCTGGCTAGTAAGGGCCCTCCCTGTCCACACCAGATCCAGCATCCCCTTACTGACTAGAGAACTAGGTCAGCACAATGAAGGCCAGCACACCAGCCTTTAGAGGCATGACCTGAAACCTAGGCCTGCTGGGGGGCCTCACCCATTCTGTCTAGAACCCCCACGGATAGACAGACTGCCTTTTATTTGCTCTGAGGAAGGGAGATCATACTGAGCCATCACATGACTCCAGAGCCACTACGGTCTTGTTCCTAGACACTGACACCCCGTGCTGAGACCCTACTACAGCTTCCAGCAGAAACAGGTCTGCTGCCCTTGCCCTGTGGCTAATCTACTCATTGAGGGGAAGGCCTGAAAGGAGCACTTGCCGCCCGTCATCAGTGCCCTCCATCACCAGGAGCAGGTAGTCCCGTCTCTGCCACTTGCTGCTGGAATCCGTGAAATAAATCTTCCTCCCATCCCGAGTAACAGTGAGATCATTCACAAAGGACATTTTCTTGCCCTCAATGGGAGTCTCCGAGGACAGCAGCAGTTTCACTGCGCCTGAAGTCACAAAACATGAAAGATTCACTCTCATTTTAGGAACTTGTTTCTTAATAATTTCACAATGTTTATCAAGCCAGCTGATGTCAAGACAAAAAGCTAAAAGGAGCTTTTCTAACCCCCAGTGAGAGCAGTTATCAACCATTAGGTAACAATCTTTTTTTTTTTTTAAGACTAAACTTTACCAAAGGCAGAAGTACAAAGATGAAGAACACATTTTTAATTGATATCAACAAACCTTAAAAAAAAAAAACTATTAAGAGCAATATTAAGAGCAAAAAAAAAAATCTAGTACTATCTTTTAGCTGGAGAGAAGAAAAATCAAATCTTCCATTCATCTGCTTTTACATTAAGCAACAATAGTGAGTTTTTAAAACTAGCCAGGAATGAGGGACACACTGCAGTCCTAGGTAGGAGAGGTAGAGGCTTGAGGAGGGCTTGAACTCAGTAATTGGAGGCCAGCTTGGGAATACAATGAGACCCCCAGCTCAAAACTCAAATAACATACAGGACATAAATTGAGTGCCAAGTTTCCTATGTACACTATTATTTAACCCTGTGCAAGAATCCATAGGCAAGGTCTACTATGAATCTTTCCTACTATATGGAAAACAGGAATAGAAAGGCTATGTAACCTCCCCAGTCATAACCACCAGAAAGCAGAGGCCAGTCTGCAAAGCCCATGGTCAAGCCCCATGCATAGATCCTCCATAGAGAGAGCACACAGCATATATTATAATACCAGTTCTAGTTATATCACATGCAGTCATAAGAAAAAAATGAGAAGGAACTGTCTAAGGAGGAAAAAAAGATTCTCAGACAGGAGGATGAGGAGTAAATGTTTACAACACAACCCTTCTGAGAGCCAGTGGCTAAAACATAGATGCAGAGAAAAACTGGGCTAGGACCAAGGCAGTCTCAGAAAGGGAGTTCTCTGGTGGCCAACACAAGTATCTGTAGGCAATACTTGTGCTGTTATTTAGTAAGAAAACATTGTAGTTGCCTACACTACATTTAACAATCTTATTAAATATGCTTTATGTGTATACTGTTGAAAAGAGCTGAAAATATCAAAGAAACAAGTTGTCACATACGTTTCTGAGGATTTACTTCGAATAATCCCTTGTATGCATCAACCACAAAAAGAGTCCCATTGGGCCCTGCCCGGATGCCCAGCGGTCGCCCACAGGTAGGTTCATCATCTCGGGTTTCTAGGAAGATAAACAACAGGAATCGGTGGCTGCTCCAAGATTCTACCTGTGCCCTCTTCAGTGTCCAAGTATCTCTTCCATAACTCCCTAAACAGACACCATGCTGTACAGAGCAAAAAGACCACAGTGTTAGAAATGGACCTGCCTCCTCAGAGACTCACTGCAAGGAGCTCAACCCGGGTGCTTACTGTAGGTGCTACCACAGCATATACTTAATTATGCATTAAGGTGCTTACTGCAAGTGCTACTGTACCACAAGGGGGGCTCACTGTCCAGTGCTCGATGTAGGTGCTGAGTAGGTGTTATGTGTGGAGTGGAAAGGGCAGGCTGAAGAAGCTAATACAGAGTATGAGCATGGGTGTCCATGGATGCAAAGCTTCCTAGAAAGGTACTCATTCAATTGTTGGCACAGTCACTTTTCAGAAGACCCTAAGTGATTTTTATTTTGATTTTGTATGTTTATGCTGCTTTTATTTTGAAATGAAAATGCATCATTTTTATAAAACATCTCCAGTTATCAAAAATGGTAACAAGGCTGTGTATTATAGTGGTAGAACACTTGCCCGGTAATCAGGAAGTCCTGGAATCCACCCAAAATACCACAAAAAATAAATAAAAAATAAAAATTTACAGTAAGTTAATTAATTTTTAAAAATGATAGGAATCCTGTGGTTCAAGTTTTAAACAGTGTGATTGTCTGCTTATGCTTCCAACGTCTAAATGATTTAAGGGTTCTCAGACTTGAGTAACACAACTGAAATCCCTGAGGAGCTACTAAGGAGTCACATGTCAGCCCCCAACAGTCACAAAGCCCCTGTCTTTATATAAAGCAGCACCACCCACAGAGATTAACAGCTGAAATTCCCACAGGGCAACCAGAGACTGAATGGGATGATGAGGGGACACAGCACCAGGAACTACTCAGCAGTCACATGACCAATGCCCAACTGGAAAGCAAGGACATCAGAGTGACAACCACAGGCTCTGTTGGACACACCAAGGCCAGATGACCACCCGGCAATAAAAAACGAAGGTGACACCACAGCGTGTCCTGTCTGCCAAATGGTCAGCAGTTCTCCAACAGTGAAAGAGACATCCAGGGGAAAGGACAACTTTCTGAATGAGTTGTCACCAACTTACTGCAAGGGCCTGAACCAAAGCGGGCGATGGTCTCTATTTCCCCGTTTTCAAGTTTTAAAACTCTGCCATCTGCTGTGCCAGTAAACATCGCATCTGTTTACGAAAATAAAAAGAGGAAGGGTCATTAAAGGGTTGGCCTAAGAGCTATGACCACACTGTCTCTTCTATAAGGGAAACAGTTTGGTTATATTTTAACAGCCAGAAAGGAAACAACAATTCTGAAGATGATGGAGAAATGATGTACGGGACATTTTTAAATCCTTAAATTTTAAAGTAACAAGCCAGGCAGTGGTGACACACGCCTTTAATCCCAGCACTTAGGAGGCAGTGGCAGGTGATTCTCTGTGAGTTCAAGGCCAGACTGATCTACCAAGTGAGTTCCAGGACAGCCAGGGCTACACAGAGAAACCCTGTCTTGAAAAAACAAAACAAAACAAAAAATTTAAAGTAACAAAACTATGGGGGCTTCCTCAAAGGATACAACTGTCCAAAGCTGTACAAAGTCTGCACATAGGCAATATGAACAGACTTATGTGTGTTAAAGAAACTGAATAAATAATTAATAATCCTGCAAGACAGAAAGCATCAGCCCCCCATCAGCTGGATCACTGGTGAATTCTACCTTAAAAAATTACAGCCAAATCTCTAAAATTTGCTTCAGAAGACAGAAGCTGAAATAATACCTCTTAACTCATTCTATGAATTACAACTTTTGCATTGCCCTAACAAAGACATGAAGAGAAACTACAGACCAGTATCTCACACAGATGCAAGAGGCAACCTGAACAGACTGTATGACTCTAATGGTACAACATTCTGGAAGAGGCAAACAATGCAGAAATTTAAGTCACTAGTAGCTGGGAGTTAAAGAGGGGAAGAGAACACAGGTGAATTTTAGGACGGAGAGAATATCCTCTATGATGGCATTACAAAGGTGTCCAAATCCACAGAGTGCACAATGCCAAGAGTGAACCCTGATTAAAACAGACAGTGGAAATAATAACCCAACTATGGTAGGAGGGGGCAACAGTAGGAAGGCTGGACCTGTGTGCAGAACCCAACACCCATTCTGATAAAATCTCTTCTTTCTGCTCCATTACTGTAAGCCTAAAACAGATCTTCAAAAGTTTGCTCTGGTCAAAAGCAGAAGGCTGGGGAGCTATTCACAAATCCTAGAGGGGAACCTACTGTTGATTTGCTCAATAGAAAAGGTGTCAAACTGCCTCCTAAATATACACGTTTATACACACAGATTAGTGCTGCCCTCAGCCTTGGTCAGAGTCTTTCTTTGCAGTGGGTGATAGCTAATACAGACTCTTAACTGGTCAGACTGCTGAGGATAAGTGACTGCTGAGTGCTCAGCCCTCAAAAGACATCCATAGCACCCACACTGAGGAAACATCCCGGAAGAGGGGACAGAATTACTAACTGCAATTCCCAATCCAGGGAACTTTTCTAACTCAATAGAGGCAGTTAAAATTATCCGGTCATGCTTTCATAATTGTTCTAATGAAAAGGTAGATAGCACCACCTGTGGAGAGGGTGACTCATAGAAATGTACTGGCTGGAAATAATGAGTACATATAAGGCAACAACACCTGGAACACTAACCATGTCTCACAGTTCTGGGAAGGAGATTAAGGTGATGCATACACAGAAAGGGAAAACCCCTTAGGGATATATATAGCACCAACTGTTGAAGTTAAGTTCCCTGAACACCAAGCATATAGAATCAATGGTAGGATCTGGTATGCTCCAAGAGAAAAAATGCAATGCAAAATGTAGAATGGATAGATCCACCTTTACCATACACAGGAGCTTACACTGGTGGAAGAATGGTATGGTGGGATGGGAAAAGAGTGCCTCATCAAAGTCTGCCCTCTGTGAGAGAATGAGGTAAGTAGGACCTCTTGTAGGCCAGGGAACTATATTAAAGCATATCTTACCGATAGGAAAGAATTGTTCGGGTTCAAATATTGTTGTCCTTAGAGCAATGTACCCATGCCCATAACCTTTTAATTGTGTAACCACAAGCAGCTGCCAGCTGGGCCTAAGTGCTGCAAGAACAGGATCACTTAAAACCATGAACTGAAGTATGCTAATTGGTGGTTGTTCTCCTCTAGCACCTGTCCTGAGGCAGTCAGCACCTGCCACTCTCTCCCAGGATACCCTCCAAATAAAGCTGCTGCAGCAGGTGTCTGGATTCCAGCTTGTAGCTCACATCCACAGGAATAGAAGCAGAGAGGTCCCCTTGGGTCCACACCAGAACTGGCACCCAGTATACTCAGCTCCTCAAGAACGGAGAAGGCAGAACAGGCGCACTCATAAGGCAGCAAAGACCTCCAAGCAACACAAACTCTAGCTGAAACAACAGTGTTTGGCTTTGTCACCAGAACTGATGAAACTTACTAACAAATGTCAAGCCCTTTTAAGAGAAACGGAAGTTCTACCATAAAGTATTTACTCCTACTGAAAAAAAAGGTTTACTCTGCCAGCCATATAATAAAGCAATAACTGCAGAAATGGGCAGGCCTTGGGGTCGCTATGGACAAAGCAGAGACAGGACAAGAGTTTATCAAACACTGGCACAGCAATGGCCCTGGCAGGCTGAGAAACTAAACCTAGGTGCACAGCACACAATGTCCACAGCCACTGCCCAGGTAATGTAGTAGACACAGGGCTGCAGCATTTCAAAGCTGCTACTCAGAAACCCTCACACCAGTCCAAGTTTAATCATCTCATTAACTGTGTCCTTTCAATACTAAGCATAATTCTCACCCTAACCAAAAAAAAAAGTAAAAAGAAAACCCTACTGTCTGGTTGCTAGAGTCAAATTCATTATCAGGCCCAATTCTTGTTCTCAGGAAATCCATCCTGAGATGGATAGATTTCGTGGAAATACTGAGAACTACTCCTCTCCACTTCAAAATAAAACCTATGCGATACAAAGACAAAGTGAGCACAGAACGGGGGTGCTGTCAAGTAACACCTACTAACTAAACAAATGAATTCAGTGTCAGGGTCAGCATCTGCCTTCCACCTCTGCACAACCAAGTATCAAAGTGCTCTGTGGAAATTAGCTCCAAATCGCCCCATGGAGCCCAGCATGGTGGCATGCACCTTTAATCCTAGCACTCAGGAGGCACAGGTAGACAGATCTCTGAGTGCCAGGCCTGGTCTACAGAATGAGTTCCAGGACAGCCAGGGCTACTCAGAGACACTATGTCTTAAAAAAAACAAACAAATAAAACATACAAAAATGGAATGCAAACCAGACAGAGAGAAGAGAGAGCTGTTCCTTGAGATGTTCACAGCTGAAACCCAAGCCCACAGCTCCCTACTGCCACTGCTGCTGCTCCCACAGAGCCCACCCACCCACCCTGAGCAACAGCGGCCTGGAAATCAGCCAAGTGCACGCCACAGATCCGTTTACTTACCCCCAATATTTACCAGGGACTCTGGCCCACTGAGTTGGTTTTCAAATAGCCTTTCTGCTTGTCGCAACTTTGTATTTGGTTGCAGAACACCAAACATAAGAGGGGGTTCTTTGAAGCTGTAAAACAGTACAATTACAAGGATTTGTATATAAAAATATCCGTGAAGGAAAACATTTCCTGAGGACCCATGGCATGTCTATCTCCCTGTTCTAACACACAGAATACATTCCCAAAACACCCTTGAATGCCAGAAAAATAAAGATTAAGGGGGAAAATTCAAGGATATCAAAAGAGATTACAGTAGGAAATAATTATGAAAATACAAATATTGCATGTCCCCATACCCCAGACATCCCATGGATCTCATCACCATCCAGGGCCTTAAGACAGTTAGACTCTCTCACACCCTGATACAGACAGCCCTGTAGCTAGTATCTATCTGTAGCTAGTACTGTCTGCCTGACATGGGGAGAGCGCTGTTGACCTTCCACAGCTGACTAGCTTCTTGCTTCATGTAAGGGAAGGGAGGGAGCCAGCCATGGAACAACATCCAGGGCTCAGGACATCACACAGGTACATTCTGCTGAACCCCAGAGCATCCTCCCCTCCCACAGAGTAACTGCAGCAACTCCCCTCCAAACTCATTCCCATCCACAGACAAAAGTGCCACAGCTCCCAGCTACTGCTGAGGCCACTTTGAAAGAGACATGATTGACCTTCCTCCCAGGTCCTCTGCTGCCACTCTGCCCTGGACAGTATCTTCTGCCTCTTCTCTCTCATCCTACAGTCGATTCTCAATCAAGCAGCCCACTTTACATCACAGCATCTGTCTGCTGATCCCTGCAAATGCCCCATCCCACTCACAACCAAAGCCCTTGGAGTGACTTCTTATGCTGCCCAGTCTGGCCCTGTCACCTGTTACCTTGTTGTTTCTTCTGTTCCCCATACCAGGCCCCCTTTGTAGGATCATGAGTACCAGGTATCTTCGGTCCTTAACATTAACTCTCATAAACTCCTCTTTCCTTGGTGAAGCCTATTCTTAGCACCCAATTTAAAACTGGCCAGCCCCCTGGGCCTGGCCCATACCTGCTCTAATCTTTCCATTCTACTTACCATCTTCTCATATACTTTTGGATTTGCTTTTCTGGGGTGTTTGCCTCTCTGGCCCCACTAGAAGGGATGTTGTGTGGACCAGAGATTCCTTCCTGCTTCCCTCTGCTGTATCTCAAGAACCTGACAGACAGGGAGTTCCCAACACACACTGCTGAGGAGGAGGAAGAGGAGTATTTCCCATCCTGCCCTCTACCTTGCCATTCAGTGAGGCTGTTTCCTGGCCTGCTCACCAGTGGAGGGGAGGTAGGGGCCTGGGGGTGGCTGAGAATGTGAGGGATAAAAAGCTCTCTATTCTGCAACACAACAATTGTTCACAACATTGTACTTTACTCCCTGTTGCCACTTCTGAGTCAGCACCACACCCGGATTAAATTGTCTTTCCTCCCTCTGCCCTGGCTCTCAACCATGGCTTTCTACCAGCCATAAAGGCAAACCCTTTCAGCTTAACTAGAAAGTTCCAGTGCCAAAGGAGGAGGCAGGAAGTAGCCTGCCTGCTTTGGCCAAGAGTTCAGGTCTGACCCTGACAGGCCCAACCACCAAGCTGCGCTTGCAAAGCAAACCATGTACGAGCATAAAGCCAAGACCACAGACGCTCAAAACCTCCCCATCTTGGCTTAAATCCTTCCACTCAGGAAGTTCTCAAGAAGCGACTGTGTGCTTGTCCCTGCCCACAGGCAACCTGAGGACAATCTCAGTAGGGAAATACCAAGAAAATTCAAAGCCAGGCATAGTAGCTCATGCCTATCATCATGGCTGAAGCTGGAAGATTGCCACAAGTGTGAGGCCAACCTGGGCTGCAAAGGGAGACCTTGTCTCAAGGGGTGGGGGGAACAGGGACAGGGACAGGCAGATTTGGATGCAAAAAGGCAAAGGGCAGGCAAGCAAGGTCCCCATGGCAGTAGTTGGCAGCAGAGGACAGCCACCAGGAAGCCCAAATCAGATCATGTCTTGGGGCCTCACCTGGCTAGCCATTAAAGTAAAGCCAGTGACACTAGTTCACCCTTGCTAACTCTGTGGCTGTACTTCTTACGTCCAGTCATTAACTTCTTGTTGTTGTTGTAGTTTTCAGCCAGAATCATGTTTTGCTCTTTCCTCTGAGACCAAGCTTCCTACACCCCTTTGCTAGCTCTGTCAACTCTTAAGTGTGCTGAGTCTGTCTCACACAAATGTCCACATCAGGACACAGTCCTGGGGCATGCCATCTTAGGAGATCTTTGCTCCAGACTCACTCCAATTTACATCTCACAGGGCCTGAGAAAGCAGTTGCATTTCTACTCAGAAAGGAACAAGAGGACTGTTTTCCACAGAAGGATATGGGCGTTTCTAGGCATTTTAAAAATATACTTAGCTGCATCTGAACCCTTCTTGCCTCATTAGGCTCCCCTACAGTACAACCAGTGCTCACCTTGTACAACTTCAAATCCTCACTGAGCTGTTTTTCTGTTTGCCATAGTCATACACCCCTTTTCAGCTAAGTTTCATCACCATTCTTTCTACACACAAACTGGCCCTCCCTGAGATCAAAGGATTTCAGTCAACTCCAAACTCACATCTTCAGCTGCTGTGTGCATCTCCCCTTCACAAGGCTGGCTCTAACCTGGCTTCTGACTACCAGGATATGCACTGTTTACTTCCCTGCCTTACTCAAGGAGACCTGGGTCAGTTCTGCTGGGAGGAGATTGAGACAGTTTTCTACACGTTAAGAAGGGCCTCTGAGAAGACTACCCGATGTCCTCAGGCCCGAGGCTCAGACAGGAAGTGTGGAAGAGTACCCACTGGCATACAGATAATTAGAACCAACCCCTCAAGCTGACTAGGTCAGCATTCCTCCTGGATCGTAAGATGCAAGCTAATCCCATTTCCATAGCACTGTGCACCTTTATTTGTAGTCAGTGATTACTTGGGTTTTTGGTTTTTACAGTGTTGGGGATCAAATCAAGGGTCTTTGTACTTGCTAGGTAAGTAAGTACTCTATCCATATCCCCCAGGCCCTTTAGTTACTAAAGTTTGGTAATTCTAAATCCAATAAACAAGGTAACTCTTGCCCACATGTTCATCTAAGATCAGACTGTGTCCTCCCTCATCTCGGATATCTGGTAGACACCTACCTTAGCTGCTGAACATATTCTTAGTGAGTTGAAGCCAATATAAAATCTTAATTTTTATATATAAAACACCAACACATTATTCAGTTGTATATATTATCTTTGCTCCATAGTTAGACAAAGTTCTTGTATGAAGTCCTTTTGAAAGCTTTACATGAAGTACTAACTCATCTAAAATGAATCTCAGATGGCTTCCCTCCCACTAGTATCTCCAAAGGCTTTGTCATGATGACTTGGAGTTTTGTTACTGCAGAATCTGTGTGAATTTCCTATGTGAATTTGTCAAACTTACTCAACCAAATGGAAGAGCTAAGATTTCCTTTGATTTCTAAAGGTGGGAGATACAAAATGATTAGGAAATTAGAGGCTAAGGGAGTTGAAAGAGCTCCTTCACAAAAAGCTCAACCTACCTCCTTCCATTTTCTCCAGGCCAAACCACACAACCCTTCTACAACCAGCCCAAGTTCAATATCAGCAAACACCAATAAAAGCCTGACCCTCCCTTCTGTGACCACAAACATGACTACATGTTAAGGGGTTTTCAAATTACAATAGACTAATTCCTCACAGACCTCCACTGGTGAATTATAACTTAGCAAAAAGAGAATACTAATTACAGATCTTAAAAATTAACTATTTACAAAAATTACATAAGGGATTTAAATCACTGCAGTGTGCTTCTGCTACTTCAAATGAACTAAGGCCAGTTATTTCTAACACTTCAGCTTCTTTAATTCTGATTTCTATAGCTGGTTTCTGTCACAATGGCAGGGACAATTTCACAGGTATTGAGTTATATCTAATTCAACATGAAACCCAAATACTAAAGAAGTAGAGCTCTCCTACTCATCACCAAGTTCCAGACCACACTGATCTACTGCACACCCCCACTGGTAGGGGAACCCTTCCCAAGACTGCTGGGCACTTACCTGAGACTCTGAGGATCTATAGGGGACTCCAAGAGCATCACGGCTCCAAGCAGGGGAATGGCAAGGGAAAGAGCCAGCATCAGGAAGGTCGTTCGGAAAACTCTGCCACTGAAGGAGCTGTCAGAAAGAACACATGAGTGGCAGTTAGCACAGCCACACACGGTGACAGACCTGTCGGCTCTGGGTGCCTGCTCGGAAGCACGACCGCTCACCCAGTTTCTCTGCTCACCAAGTTTATCCACTGCAAGGTCACTGACTTTGTGATGCTGGTTAAACTTGAGTGGTTCGTCAACCTTGGCAGACATGACTACTTCTTTGTGTAAAATCCTGCAGCTCGGTGAAACACTCTGGTCATTTAGAGTCTAGATATTCTTTCTTCTAGCAGAATTTCAAGGAAAAACTCAAAGAATTGACGAATACAAAATGTAAATGGGAGAGCCGGCACAGCTCACCAACCTGGAACCCCAGGTCACACTTAGAAGTCTGACAGAGGAGGGTTATAAGTTGAAGGCCCGCAGGACTACAAGATCCTGACTCAGAAAAGATAGGAGAAAGACTTTCAATGATGTGATGGACATAGTCACATATAGAGAAGATGGGCAAAGAGAGAGAGCGGGTGGACTGAGATTTTCATGAAGAAAACAGGAGTCCTGCCAACTCTCTGAGCCCCTAATTTCTGGCACATTTTGCACCGCTCCATTTTAGGAATCAAAGGAAATCCTTGCTCTTCCTTTGGTGGAATTTGGTAGATGTTCCTGGGGAATTCACATAGATTCTGCAGTTAAAATTCCAAAAAGCTATTTACCAGTCTAAGAGGTGCTTTTGAATCTGGGTAGCTTTAAGACAAGTGACAGTGGCCGGGCGGTGGTGGCGCACGCCTTTAATCCCAGTACTCGGGAGGCAGAGCCAGGCGGATCTCTGTGAGTTCGAGGCAAGCCTGGGCTACCAAGTGAGTTCCAGGAGAGGCGCAAAGCTACACAGAGAAACCCTGTCTCGAAAAACCAAAAAAAAAAAAAAAAAAAAAAAGACAAATGACAGCAATAACTAGAACTCCTCACACACATTGTCATTCTTATCTGGTTTTTTTTTAAAAAGTGACAATCTTCAGTTTCTTGCTACATAAACCTCATAGAATCATTATCTGCTTATATAAATTACACTGTAATTTTATTAAACACTTGACATCAAGGTTAACTTAAAAAGGGTGGCAATATAGTGTGTAAAGGCTCTTGCTGCCAAGGCTGAAAACCTGACTTCAATCCCCAGAACCCGCAGGGCAGAAAGAGAGAACTACATGGACACTGTGGCATGCATGCCTACATACCTATACTCACATTCACATGTTCACACATACAAACACACACACACACACACACACACACACATTTTTTTAAAAGGTTAACTTGAGCAAATTAAAAAAAAATAAAATCATGAGCTTATCAGAAAGTTTCTATCTGTAAAATTTAAATGTAGACGTAAAGAGAAAAATGAGGAGTCCTACTTAATAGAACAGATTGGAAGGAAGGGTTTTGGCTTTGACAAGCAATGTCCACTGCCAAACTGGAAGAACATCAGCAGAGCAGAAAGGACTTTAGGCCTGCTTTCCCCATTAGCAATTAGCAGAGTGGAAGATGCCTGGACCCAGAGCCCTTAGGGTTTAAAAGGTCATGATGCTATATCTCTCCGAGAGTCATGTTAATGCAACCACACAACGTGTGACTTTTAGTAACTCCTCCCTCCTGACCTGCAATGAGGCAACTTTAACCCAGAATCCTTCATTCTATGGTTTCTTGTTAGCAGTCACCACTTGTCCAGCAATTCCATACAGCTCTCTCGGTTTCTGAGGTGTCAGCTTGCAGCCCCCATGTTGGTCCTTTTCCACCACTGTCAGCCTCTCCAGGGCTTGAAGGACTAGACAGGCCACACTCTTGAAGCCTCTACTGATGTGGCTGGGCCTGATGCTATTTCTCTTAAATCCTCCATAGATCTTGGTCATAGAGCCAACGCTATCACCAGCCCAGGCTTGTGTGTAAAACCCAGTTCTCAGAGCATGATCTTTATGTTTGGTCAGACTGCCTGTGTCCACTCTTCAGGGACTTTCAGTTTCCCAGACCTTTGGAGGAAAGCTATCAGAGGTCTGATGAACTCCTGCTGGTTTACCTCTTCTACAGTAACACCAGGCATCATGGAGTCTCTGTGCTGCCCATCAGGGAATACTTCTATTATTTGGCATAAGATCTTTCAGGTTCATTCATGTACTCATGTTATACAATATATCAGTATTACCCCTTTTTTTTGTTTTTACTAGTATAAGACAACCCCCCCAGTGTGTGTGTGTGTGTATGTGTGTGTGTGTGTGTGTGTATACCACATATGTTTATCTACTCATCTGTGATGATAAATTGTGTACCCTAATAAAATTTGCCTAAAGATCAGAGAACAGAACAAGCCACTAGATTAAACAAAAAGGCCAGACAGTGGTGGCACACACCTTTAATACTAGCACTTGGGAGGCAGAGATCCATCTGAATCTCTGTGAGTTCAAAGCCACCCTGAATTACATGAGATTGACTCAGTCTAGGAGAGAAACAGCCAGGCAGTGGTGGCACATGCCTTTAATCCCAGTACTTGGGAATCACATACCTTTAATCCCAGCATTAGGAAGTAAGTAATATGGCTGGGTAGAGAAAGGTATATAAGGTGTGAAGAGACAGGAACTAAGGTCTTTTTGGCTGAAGTCTTTTTGGCAGAAGCCCTTTCAACTAGAGGCTTTTCAATGAAGCCCTTTTCGTCCAAAGCTCTTTTGGCTAGAGAGCTTTTTCAGCTGAAGATTCAGAGGCTTTCAAACAGAGGGTTTGTGGAGCTGGCGAGGTGAGAAGTAGCTGTGACTTGTTCCTTTGTCTCTCTGATCTTTCAGCATTTACCCCAATATCTGGCTCCAGGTTTTTTATAAGACATTTTAGCAATTCGTGTTACACTCATTCACTTATGGACATCTGTGAGTGAATGGGGAAATGGTTTCTTTCACACAGTGTAACTGTGACTACTTATTGGATAAAAGGTGTCTTAAAGGGATGATGAAAGTAACTGACCAACACTGCAAACACTGTAAATCCGCTGAGCTTCACACATTAAAATGGTAACTTGTGTGTTTCATGAATTACATCTCAACAAAAATGATGTGAATTTATACAGTGGTAAACTGTTGCAAAACTCCATCACTTTATAAAACAAAAAGCACTAAATTGGAGATTTTAAGTAAACATGATTTGTTCCCACTGAAGGAAAAGAAACTAAAAGTCAGTGACTTCTCTATGCAAAACCCACACAAAATCCTGGAGCACTATATCAATGTGATTTTCTTGAAGCGGCCTAAAGCTTTTTACCACAATAGAAATAAACTGAGAGGTATCTGTTCAAAAAAGCAGGGCTGGTTACAAGTACCAATGACAGAAAAAATGGCTGTTAAAAACACGAGTCCCAAAGAGAGACAAACACATTCAAAGCACCCAGGGAACACGATACAGTCCAACCAGGATATTCTTCTTGTCCTTTAAAGGATGCTGATGCAATCCTCTACTTCATCTGAACCAGCAGGGGGACACTATAGTCCGATCTGTGGTTGTTGGTTGGCATTAACCAAAATAAGCATGAAAATCTCACAAAGTACAGTCTTCTTTTTTTCACAAATTCTCCTAATCTGTGTCAGACTTACACAAACTCTCCTTTCCCACACTGTCCTAGCATGGGAAGAAGGGTGTTAGGAATGGAGCCCAGAGCCATGCACATGCTAAGCACGCACTGTCCCATGAAGGTACATTTCCAGTCCTGTATCTCACATTTCAAAACTCTTAACTTAGTGACCTGATTCAGAGTATGTGACACTCTGCTTGGGTCACTGTCCCTTCACATCATGGCAAAAGGTTCAACTGTGTCCAAAGTAAGTTCAGCCAGGACTCAACGCACCCGTGCTTACAGCTGGAAAAATAGCCAACTTCCAAAGATGACACACAATGAGTGTCCCACATCTCCCACCTTGTCGGGATCTGGACAAGCACCTTCTATTATTTTCTTTCTGTGGTCCTAGTGATGGAACCCAGGGCCTCTTACATGTCAGGCTAACACTCTTACCATTGAGTGACATCACCAGCCCCTTGACAAGATTTGCTGGGATCTGGTACTGCCAGTCTCTTACCGTTAATAGGATCAAAACTGGAGAAGAATTTAGAAGTCCCCTGTTGGGTGCTCCCAACTGAACTCCTCAATGAAGACAATCTTCACAGTTTTGTTTGGTTGGTTGGTTTGGTTTGGTTTTGGTGGGGGGTTGGGGGGGTTGTTTGTTTGCTTGTTTTGATACAGGGCTTCTCCATTATGTAGCTCTGGCTGTCCTGGAACACAGTAGATAGACCAGGCTGGCCTCAACCACACAGAGATTCACCTGCCTCTGCCTCCAGAGTGCTGGGATGAAAGGCATGCACCTAACATATTTACAGCTTTAAACAATGCCTGGAGATTCTGGTCTATGGGTCCAGAGTGGGCCTGGAAACCCATTTTTCCCATCAGTTGTTCCTGATAAACAGATGGATACCACTAATCTTATCCAACTTCCTCCTGGACTTCATTATCCAGCTTCTACTAGTAATTGTGCTGGTCAAGTTTTAAGAAAACTCTGAGCACCATGATGGAAATAGAGCAGGCACTAACGAGGCACAGCTACTGAGCACTTGAGATGGAGAGAACTTGTCACATAAATGAGGCAAACTGTTCTTGCACTCTTATTCTGCATACACTTACTGGAGCCTAAGATTAACTTTTGACCAGACATCCCCACTACTGATCCTGGGAATTCACAGTCCACTTCCAGCCCTCCATGTTTTCTCCATGTTGGCTTTCCTCAGACTGTGCACCTGCATAAATTTAGCTTAAAGAAGGAACTACACCCTTCATCTCTGTTTTCACTTACACACTTCCAGCCTATAATCACATAATCAGAAAAGCTAGCAACTTATCTTCCAAGTGCAGCCTGAGCAACCTACTTGTTTGTCCAATCTCTTAAGAAGAGCCTAGAGCAATGCCTGCTCCCTTGAGGACGTGGGCATCCTGAATTGCCTGCAGTCTCTATGGGAAAGGGCACAGTCACAGTGATGCAACCAGTTGGGATAACTTACAAAATCCTCTGCCATTTCACCCGCTCAATTTGAAGGGTATTCTCTAACGCTCCCTGCATGTGCACACCAGACCACCATCAGATAACAAGACACCAAGAATCCAAGAGTGAACTGTGAACTCTGCAGAAAAAAAGTCTACAGGCTCCAAATCCATAGGGTACGAGCAGCCTTGGGTGCCAAGGACGCTCAAAGCCAAAGAGCAACAAGTCTCATCTTTTAAAGTGATGGAACTTGCTCATTTTTCACATTCCTTCCTCCTAGAATCATTTTTTTCTTCTGAAAAAGTAAGAAATTAATTGTCTTAATTGAGCAATTAAGAAAAATAAGCTGGGCGGTGGTGGCGCACATCTTTAATCCCAGCACTCGGGAGTCAGAGCCAGGCGAATCTCTGTGAGTTCGAGGCCAGCCTGGTCTACAAAGCGAGTTCCAAGAAAGGCACAAAGCTACACAGAGAAACCCTGTCTCAAAAAGCCAAAAAAAAAAAAAAAAAAAAAAAAGAAAAATAAGTTAAAAGACCCATTTGAAGACACACTTGGGCAGTGCTGGGATGAAAACACCATAATCTCCCAACTCCCTTGTTCTCCGTCTTAAATTGGAAAGTGGGAATGAGGCCTGAAAGACACTTTTACTCTAAAAGCCCTCTGAAGCTTACTGAAAACACTGTTGTCAAACTCTCAATGAATCCTTCACTCCTAGGTACATGCATAAAAACTAAAGCCTTCTCTTCCTAGATAGAAGGATATTTCAAAAGATAATTTCATAGTGTAAGGATTACTTTGCAACAAAGTTCCTGAAGCATTTGGGAGACCAATGTCAAACAGTAACTCTAAAGGGCAGCGGCATGGTAAATGCCTCACTCATCCGTGTCCCATACTGAATAAAAGGGCTGAACAATCAAATTCCACTGGGTAGCTCATTCAGATATTCAGAAGCTTTAACACCAAAGCTCACTCTGAAGGCATGATTCTGAAAGATGCTTCTCAGTCACTGTCCAACTGCCAGCTCCACCCTTCATTACTGTAACTTCGTTCATAACATCTCACTCACAGCGACCTCAACAACCACTCCAGTCAAACAGAGCAAGGCTGCTTTTCCTGCAAGGCGGGAAACTTTCCAAAGTACTGCTAAGGGCCCCTCCACTATTACATCTGTTTTCCTTCTTCTATTCTGACAACTAGACAATCAAGTTTCCACCACTCCGTTCTGAGGCGTGTCTAGCAATTTGACATTGCAATCCCCCATTGTCAGCTACAGAATTTACACTCAACTGTGTAATCAAACTTTTTTTTAAAAAAAAGGAAAGAAATCTCATAATGTTGTAAGTCAGTTCATAATTTTGTGTTAGGCTTGCAGGCTTTCGCAAGTCTGAAGTTTGCTCTAACTTTCTGTTTGTTTATACTTTCTTCAGATTCCTTGCTGTCTTTATTTTCTGCACCGAGAGTCAAACACACGACCTTAGGTGAACTAGGTAAGTGTCCTACCTCTGAGCTCCCAACTTCCAGATTTCTTTACTTCACAAAACTTTCCTGATTCACATTCAACCCTAGACCCTTACAGTAATCAAGAAGATAATTGGACAAACTACTAGAAATTACCACAAAAATACAGAGCTGCTACTGATGAAAACAGGAACGTTATAATAGTAAGGGCAGAAAGGAAGGTGGCTGACAAGAACTCACTTTAGAAGCAACCATTAAGGATCACTAATGAAAGAGAAAGGATACTAAGAAACATTATTTACAAACAGAAAGTCAAACAGTGTAAGCACAAATGGAAGACACTGGACAAGATCAGGTGCAAAGAGACAATTTGCATCTAATTTGTAGTCAGAAAGGAAGAAATCCCCACAGAGAACCTTAAAAAATAAAATCAAGATAATTAAATATGTCCCTTTGCCTGGGGGCCAGAAGTGTCACAGCAGCTGTTCTAGATGGTAGGCCCATCTACCAAGGGCCCCCAGGTACAGGGTGCACCAGGCTTCAAAGCACTGAACCTCTCAGAGTACCTGGGTAGGGCCTTCAACTGCTCCATCCTTTTTCTCCTAGTTTCTGCAGTCAGGTTTGGCTACTCCTTGCTTATCCATCCTAAAGATTCGTCATTAATTAGTAATTAATTCGCAATATCCACAACAAGCCTGGTGAGCAATTTGTCCCAAATCTACACCCACTTAGTAAAGCGTGCCCTAGAAAATGGGACCTCAAGGCAACCTAAGATGGCTGGTCTCCTTAGTCAAGACCCATACTATCACTTTCTGGTTCTTTCACAAACTCATTTCTAAAGCCAAAGTGTTTTGTGTTTATCTTATTATCATTAGTCAATAAAGCTGACCATCAGAAGCAGAAACTGTCTCTCCTCCAGTATGTACCACACCCCCTCATGACACTGCTAGTGACCAAATAAATACTTCCAATTTTTCTATCACGTAAGTTAATTCCACAACTTTAAGGCTGATCTAGAAATTCAAAATATAAAATCCACATCACAAAACTGAAAAGTGAATTTTAAATGTCTTATATTATTAGGGTTTAAGGAGCATGCTTCAGCTTTTAGCTAACAGAACATTCTTAAATACAGGAAGACTGGGGCAAAAAAAAAAAAAAAACTTTAGAGATTTACTAATCGTCAGTAACTACTGTCCCTATCAGAAAAACTGCCAACAATGTCATGTCGGTTCTCTACTCCGTGGTGAGGACTGCAGACTGCGCGGCGGCAGTAGGTGCAGGAGAGGCTCTTCGCAGAAGGAAGATCCCGCATCTTTTCTGACTTCCCTTCAGGAAAAGTGAAAAGGAGAACACAAAAGTGGCAGGCAGGGCAGTGGCCGGGTGGCTGTCCCACGAGTATCAGAGGATCCAGCAAGGACATGTCGGGAAGATGCCAAAAGGCGATGGCTCCAGCGGCTGGGGTGTAAGAAGGCACGGGGAAGGCCCGCAGCACGGCGAGCACTGACAGCCCGGGTGCGCGGGAGCCCTCGCCCCGCAGATGCGTCCTGCAGGTCAGAACCCGGGTCCTCGGTCAAAGTGGAGTTAACGAAGAGGGTTCTCGTCCACGGAGAGGATGGCCCCAGTCCAGGTTCGGCCTACCTGCCCTCCTTGGCCTCCGGGGCCTGGCCATCGTCCGTGACGACCTGCGGCCGCAGGGGCCGGCGCTGCCGCAGCCCATCTGCCTCGTTCATCTTGCAGCCGCACCACGGGCTCCACCGCCTCGGTCGGCACTAAGTCGCACGAGTTCCAGGACCGCCCCCCCCCACGCCCCCGCGCCCCGGCGCGCGGAAATGACGTATGCCTGGCGACCCAGCTGCATACTGGCCCCTCCCCCTTCGGGAGATTGGCACAGCGGTACGGCCCCACCCCCGGCCTCGGCGAACAGCCGCTGGCGAATGGTGGGGGGGCCCCCCTCACCCCACCAAGTCTGGGTGCTGAGGCCGCTGCCGGGGTCTCCCTCACGTCTTTGTGCCGGCGGTGATGTCTGCAGTAACACGCGTGCAAAGAGAGGATGCCACTGATTCTTAACGAACTGTGTGAAAAATTCCGCGTTCATCCTCTTGCAGTGCAATAATCCCCGCCTGAAAATCGTTCTTTTCTGAAACGATTTCCGGAAAGATTCAAAATGTTCCCTTTTGGTCGAGAACAAATGTTGACTACTAGATCTTCGGGTGGTTATACAACAGACATTTGAAAAAAATTTTCTAAAAGGAGTTATCTTTAGGTAAAGACAGGCCCAAGTAGAAAAGACCACTAGTGGCAAAACTTTAGGGATCATGAAGGAAGCAGCAGGTGGCGCTTCCACAGTATTACAACGAGCCAAACATACTCCAGGAGTTGAGGTGAGCAGACCACAGGTAAAGCCCCTCCTTTCTGGAACTAATGGGAGCCATGATTTCAATAAATGTAAAATTTAATACAGTGATGGTTTCTAAAGGAAGAAACTTGACCTTGTGGAAGCATTTGACCAGTGAAGGAATGGGACATGGGGGTAGGATTGGGAAGAAAAGGCAAGGAGGAGAACCCCCTTTCAGGCAGCAGAAGCCAAGTCCTGTTCCTTAGGGCACTGGGAATGCTCTCTAGGATACACACATGTTCAAAGTGCAGTCACTTAAGTTTCCCAGCTGCACTTAGAGGTTTTGCAGAAACATACATGCAATTATCTTTTCAGCACTAGATGGCGGTAGAATGCCATCTTAATGTTCTATTTTCCTTCCCGCTTGCGGGAAGTGGAGATTTCTTACCCGGTTCTGTAGGGATCCTGGGTTATATAATTCAGGCCCTGACACCATTGTACTTGATTCCATCATTGAAGACAGACAGTATAAAAAATCGTATACTGTTTGTAATTTTAACAAATGCTATGTGGTCTGGCACCTTCCTGCTTGCCTGGAAGGCTTGCCATTTCTGATCCCATGTCTCTCACCTTGGAGTCTTATTCTTTTTTCCTTATGATACATTTTTCTTTCACCTTCACCTAAGTCATTTTTATCATCCAGAATCCACTTCAAGTATTATTGCTGAAAATCTCGTCTTCAGTCCCCAGAGTATCTTCCTCTCTAGGAGACTCTTTGAATATTCCTGAACTGTCACGAGAAGCCTATTCAGTTATGTGTATCCCATGCCCAGTGTGAAATGAAACCACATGAACAAAACAACCAGGAACATACACAGTGAAAATATTAAAGAGTTGAATACACTGAACTTGCTGCATGAAGGGATTCACCAGAGGACCCGTGAGCCCCTCAAAAGAGGGCAGTTATGGAAGACTGCTCGTGAAATTTAGGGCTCAAGTTAGAGATGGTCTTGAAAGGGATTGGTTAGAATACATAAACCAGGAGAGCATCTGGAAGAGCCAGTGTGGTGATATATTGTGTACCCCAATAAAACTTACCTGGGGATCAGAGGAGAGAGCTAGCCACTAAATTAGACATAGAGGTCAGGCAATGGTGGCACACATCCTTAATCCTATCACTGGGGAGCCAGAGATCCATCTGTATCTCTGCAAGTTCAAGACCACACTGGGCTACATGAGAGAAACAGAACCAGGCAGTGGTGACACATGCCTTTAATCCCAGGAAGTAATATAGCAGGACACAGAAAGGTATATAAGGTGTGGGGGGAAAAAAAAAAACAGGAACTCGCTCTTTTGAGGCTGAGGACTTCATAGAGGTAAG